GAATCCCAAGAGGGTTGGTGACGAAGATTGAAAAACCTGCGACGCCTAAAGGCATGTGGCTCTTCAGCGCGTTGAGCGGTAGATCCCATTTGGCTGACCATTCACATTTTTTTGGATGTCAGCTTCGATAGTGTTCAGTGGGCAACTGTTTCTCACCAACTTAACGTCGCCAGCAAAGAGAAAACAGAGATTTTCAAGGCCTTCGGTGATATTGTTCACGAAAATGAGAAAGAGTAGGGGCGCATGAGTAAGCGCGCAGCATTCAAACGCGGGTTTACTCAAAAAATTCAAGGTCATTTGATCAATCCCAATTATCAAAGCCATGATCGAAGTCCAAACTGGAGACATCTGTGGCTGAAAAATTATTTCGCTTATTGAAGCCCTTAAAACTAACGCCAGATTCCATGCGGCAGCCAAACACCAAAAAAAACGAAATTTATTTAACGTAAAAAGAATAAAATAATTAATGGTTAATATGCATGAACTAATTCTCGGTAAGGAAATGTACCCAAACTCTATAGATAAGAGCTGCACCTTCCATATATCTGTCAAAAGCTATTCTAAACACTGTTCTGAAACTTTCAGCCTAAGATCATCGACGAATACGAAATAAAACTAACTTTTGTCAGTTTTTGAAAAGTATTACATAGTGAAATTATAAAACGAGCTAAAGTTCACCAGTAAGATCTGCACCTTCAATTAAGATAGGGTCTGACTACTTCGTCCAATTTGGTATGGATAATCTTCGTGTGCATAGCACGAAACTCTTCAAACCGCCTGTCCGTACACTAGTCCGCGAATTATCTTTTACCAACTGGGTCATACTACCTTGCAACAGCCCCCCGAAGAAGTATTAATGCCCCCACAAAATCCGCTCTCAAAAGGAATCTAGACCTATACCTTGGTCCCTGAACAGAATTCATAACTCGGAGACAAATAAATCAAATTGGCGTTACCTTAAAAAAGCCGTTTTCAGTTACTTTGGGCTTTTGACATCCACGCTCATCGACTGAGGCAGTGCACATAAACGTATGCTTCCTCTCCACTCTAAGCAGCGAAACTGGTGTTTGTTCGTCGCCCGCATTTCGGGTACTGGATCCATTGTTGCTCATCGTCCAAATTGACCGTGTTCCACGCAGATTTGCAGACACTGGCCTTCGTTGATGATGCCGGATTGGTTTGCTTTCTGCGTTTAGTGTCCAGTTTGTACTTCGCCGACGTCGCTGTCAGTCTTCGGAACACAGCATTCTCCAGTGGGTCACCTATTTCGTCGTCATCACTGTCGTCTACTCTACTTACTAAAACTGATTTCCGCTTTTCTATCGAACCGCTTGTTGAAGCTACTGGTGGATTATCGGCTTTAACCCTGACGCTCGTAGACGGAAGACAGGCCTATCTTGAAGTATTGAAGTCTTACTCGGGTTCGGGGCTGCGTCCAATATTCACGGTTCCGGGTTTGTCTTCTCTTTTGCAGTTCGGTCTACGAGCTGAAAGGGCTGTTGACGGAAATGGGAGCTAACTTCAATGTGGTGCCGTTGGGTTAAGGGTGCATGCATCGGAAAGAAATCTAGAGGAAAGCGAGGATGTGCAAGGAGGAGTAGCAGGAATAAGCGGGATAACGTAGGAGTGTCCTTCAGAAAATGAAGGCCAATTAGCTTAGGGGGATGGTAAGCCTTAGGTGTGAGTCTAGCAGTGTTTTGCAGACCCTTTTGGAGGAAGAGTTCACAATCTCTAGTGGAAGTTTGTTCCATTCTGAGATGACCCTGTACGTGAAGAAGTTGGAGTGGATGAAGGTTCTGAGCTGGTGTTTGAAGAGTTTTCTTGGGTGTCCCCTTAAGTGTTCCAGGCTAGAGCGTGTGAAGAAACGGTCAACTTGGCCTGACGTGAAGAGGTTATATAGAAGGAAAAGATCCCCTCTGATACGTCGTATATCTAGAGGGTATAGATTTAGCTGTTGTAGTCGGGTAGGATAAGGGATTTCTAACAAGCCATATACTAGTTTCTTGGCCCTTCGCTGCACACGCTCTAGTGAGTCGCTGTCGCAAATGAGGCCAGAATGTGCAATTTGGCTGCCATATTCTAACAGTGGGGGTATGTATGTTTCATAGAGGAAAGGAAAATCCTCTTTGGTTATGCGCGGGAAAGATCGTTTGTTGAGGTTTAGAATACGAAAAGCGGTTTTACTGGTCTTTTGGTTGTGGGAAGAAAAGGAGAGTTTGCTATTCAGCCAGAAACCAAGAATTTTGTGCTGATGCACCAGATGGATACGGGTTGAACCGTTTACTCAGAATGGTTGACCAGGAGCGTTACCAAAGGATATTTGCACATTTTCCATCATTGCTTAGTAAGCTTTAGTCAACTGACCAATTTTTGGTTTGGTCAATCGCCGACTGCACTTGTGATGCGTCTGTGCCCCAGATAGTGACATCATCCGCATACATGGTCATCTCTATAGGGAGACGGTTAGGGAGATCATTAATATAAATCAGAAATGGGATGGGACCTAGTACGGAGCCCTGTGGAATTCCTATTGAGACTGGGGAGGGCGAAGAAATGGATGTGCCTATTCGAACCGCGAAGGAGCGGTTCGACAGAAAACTAGCAAGTAGGGAAACCAATCGACCAGTGATGCCATAACTCTCTAGTTTGTACAGGAGAGGATGTGTGGCACTCTGTCGAAGGCTTTTGCGAAGTCTATGAAGAAATATGACCTTCGTCATAGGCACGGGTGAAGCTATCCATTAAGGTCAGTATATTGGGATGCATGACCTGTTTGGTAGGAAGCCGTTTTGGGAAGCGTTTACCAAGCGGTTCTCAGTTAGATGTCTTAGAATACGCCGTTTGAGGAGGCGTTCGAAGATCTTACTGGGAATGTTGGTTAGGCTGATGGGCCTATAGCTAGTAGGCAAGTGTTGATCGCCTTTCTTATAAATAGCGATAATAGTTTCCCTCTTCCACTGTTGTGGAAGGGTTCCTGTGTCCAAGCACGTTGGAAAGAGATGGGCATATGTGGCAGCCAACACGTCCGCGTTTTCTTTCAGTATACGGGGGTGGATTTCGTCCGGACCCATGGAGCTGAAAGAGTTCACGCGTTTTAATTGCTCTTCCACTTCTGAGACTGTTATGACAAAGTGATCTAACTGGGATTGGTAGGTTGAGGGATGAAGATTGGGATGACTGATTGGAGAGGGGATGTTGAAAATTTGGTCGAAATGGGACCGGAACATTTCCGCCACATCTGCAGATGAAGTGGCTGGGGTACCGTCGGGTTTAGATAGGGCAAGAGCGGATAGAGTGTTTTACCGGGTTCGTCGCACAAATCTGTACAGGATTGACCGGTTTACCAGTGCCTTGGCTAAAATGCCATTCTTTTGGTTTCTCTGAAACTCTCGGATCCCTGCTTTGAATAAATTGTGAGTTCGGATGAAGCCGTTGGCATCTTCCGCCAGACTCGTCAAGTTTTACCGAGGAAAAGACCGCGAACGTTCTAAAGATGGCGGATAGCAGGCGGTAAGGGGTGTCTGTTTGATGAGGATTTACGGACGCAGGGCACAAGCAGATGGTCCGCTGTGCGGATACACCGCTCTGTTGTGCTACTCCAGGTGTCTACGTCACGTACTGATTGGTTTTGGGGTATGGACTTGGAGGAAATGCCTCAGGTTTTGGAGTTTGTCCTTTTAAAAGAACGAACCTCCCTAAGACACAGTGTAACGCATCTGGGCCAGCGGACTATTACATCGAAAGACAACACGATATGATCGCTCTTGTCCAAAGGGCAATGCTGTTGGATTGTGTCTGTGAGGTGACTATCACCAATTATGACAAGGTCTAGCAATGAGGGGGCTTGGCCGTTTCCGAATCTCATTGGGCTTTTGACGTGCTGACACCATGACAGCTCTGTGACCAGGCTGACTAGCAGCCTTCCAAATGTATTATCCGGGGCGTGAAGTCCGTACCAACCTATTCTTGCAGTGTTGAAGTCTCGAGTTATCAGACGATGCGCATTGGGGGCATAGATCTTAAGCCTTTTAGTTGATCTATCAGGAGTTGTGATTCTAACTCTTCACAGGAGGGTGATCGGTAGACTACTCCCAACAACAGTGTATCAGAACGGGACAGGGGAATCTGGACCCAAAGGCAGTCTATGAAGGGGATGGGGGGGGGNGGGGGGGGGTTGATAGATTGATCGCTTGGGGGAGGTAGTCACTCGTGTAGAGGATCACACCACCTGCTCGACCTCTCATTGAGTCTCTCCGGATCAATAAGTAACCTGCAATGGATACTTCGCCACCGCTGTTTTCCGGGGTCAACTAGGTTTCTGTGAGGGCTAAACATGGGGCTTCTTATCGGCCACTAACTGTTTGACTTCCAACATTTTATTCCAGATGATGAGACAGTTAGTGGGAATACACTTCAGAGCCCACTCACCAGAGATTTCAATAGTAGCAGGGTTAGAGAAGGAATCTTTGGGAGGGGCTCTAATCTGGGTATTTGGTTTGTTATAGGTGGGCTGTGGATAGGGTCCGCATTGTGGACCATTCTGCAGCGTGAGTGCCTTGACCTGTTGAAGAGGTCGGGAGGATGAGTAGGATGAGACGCGGGGAGAAAAGGGACGGTTTGCGATCTCCTACGGGAGTGTGAGAGGTATCCCTGTTGTTCACTGGGATGCGCGTTACGGAAAAAGGACGATTGTGTTGCTAGTGACCCGGTTGGGAAGACTGGTACGGGGGGTTTGCCGAGTAAATCGTTCCTTTGTGGCTTGGGATTAGGGGGCTCCTTGGGGTTAAGCTTAATCGTAGCGGGGGTGTGGGGCCTCGGTGTCGAAGCTGTAGGGGGCTGTTTAAGTCGCGCTGCAGATGTGATTGAGGCTCTGGGGGATTTCGTGTCTTGGGAGGTGAGGTTGTCGTCGTTTGGTGGTCTATGCGCGAGAGGGGGATCAATGGCAAACGGCGAAGTTTGGGATCGCTGGCACCATTGTTACTTTTGAGGGCTTCTTTCCGCTAAGTTCGGGTGTGCAGTGGCTTGTCTGAGGAAACTCCCCGGAGAAGATTGTATGCCCTTTTCAGAGTCTCGGTTTGGGCGAGAGCGTCTGCTACTACTGATTCCGAGTTGAGGGTGATAAGGATGCCCACCTTCGTCTTGTTAGATTTGGACATCAGCCACGACACTCCGATTGGTTTGGATACGGATGGAGCTGTAAGGCGTTTCAGTAGGGTTTTGGTTGCCTGAGCCGGAGAATTGAACTTGGGGAAACTATCCCAAATTATAATCCGTTTGGCGCTTATGGCCACTGATTCTATGTTGGCTGCAGTGTCGAATATCTGTTGTTTCGATAGTGTAATCGCCTGGCCTGCGGCCGCACATGCTGGGAAGTTATCCTTAAATAACGCTGTCAGGTGACTTATGTCGTTGTCTAGTGCCGCAACTTCCCCACGCAGTTCGTATATAATCGAACCTTGCAGGTCAAGAGCGACTAGAGGCGCTTCTAGCGATATTTGAGTGCTAGCCCATTCGCTGGTTTGAGACACCTCATGTGGGATGGGGATTTCCCGCATGGGTAAAGTGTCCTCAACGGAGGACTCAGAGAGCTCAGAATACACCGTTAAAGAGTAGTGGTACTAGTAAAGCATAAATCGGAATGGGATAAGATGGAATAGTGTTAGTTTTAGGGTGGTCACAATTAAGGATATATGCAATGATTTACGGAAAAATAATTATAAAACGTAAAAGAAGCAAACTTATTGATCCACGACAGATTTTCAACCGTGCGCGGTCAAGGTCAAGGTACGCCTACTCTCCGTATTCTGTGTTGCCGACCCCTATCTATCGAATAATATCTGGATTTCCGGGTACTTCCCTATCATAGCTGCTACACGTCAAATTTGACTGCATCGAAAATTGTAATTCAATGTACCTAAACTATTCAAAGAGACGCCCAGCTCTTGAAGGACATCCTCCGCTTGTGTTCAATTTGTTTGTGGTTGTTGATCGAGATGTAACAAATGCTTCGGCATCAATTCTTCACGCA